TAAACTTTTTTCTTTGAAGTGGAACAGTGAAGTGAAATTTGTTAAGTTTATGAAGAAAGATTTAAGTGTTAAGAATATTAATAATGTGTTTAAATATTAATTTAATAATATTAGTATTAAAAATCAAGTTGCCAATTTGAAATAATAGTCTACAATGTCTGTAGACCTGATTGCCTCCAATAATGAAAACCAGGAGTAATGCCCCCAGTACATCTTAATACAGCAGAGAAATCCTATACATATATAAGTTTGGAGAAAAGAGGAAGAAACCAGATTTGGGAAGCTTGAAGTCTGTTGGGACAGGAAAAAGGAAGGGAGATACATCTGGCCTTGAAGCCTTATGTCCTACCATAAATTTATCCTTGAAAGCAAAAACTGGGAAAAAATACTGTCAGACTGATAACAGTGCTCTGATGTCATCTTTTGAAGGTTTTTGAGTTACCTACTTTGAGAAAGAACACCTATTAAAAATCATGTGAGTTAGGCTGTTTACTGAAGCCCTTGGGATTGCTGATTTAATAACGTTAAGGTAATCAGAAACTTGTATTTTAATGAGAATTTCAAGCAACAAAAATCAGATTATTTCCATACAGCACAACAATGCCTACATGACAGAATAATCATTATCGTGAGACTTCGTCGAAGATTCAATAAACCAGGTAACTTTTTAGTGGTTCATGGGGAGAATAGGCTACGATCCACTAAGGAGCCAGTGAAAACTTTATGTTAAAATAACAGGAAAAGTTTTTACATTTTATTTGCAGTTTCAAATTGTCTATTACTTTACCATGAAAAATATGGTGATTATAAATTTTATTTCATGTTTTACTATTTTTTTCCCTTTCCAAATCACATCCTTAGTACTCTGGCAATCTTTCTTCTTTCTCTCACATTATCTTATGGTTTAAACTGTTCAATTCCTACTACTATTTCCATATATGACAATAAAAAATGCTGTTCCTGTATTTCCTATGAGTTTCTGGCTCCCTAAAATGAAATTGAATTTTGTTTTTTGCATAAAATTCTAAAAGGATACCAATATCCTCATGTCACTTTTTGTGAGGCTATATGACTCAGAAATATACCTAAGAAGTATTTCAGAGACAAGGAAATTAAAGAACTTGAATCAAGAGACAATGTCTGAAATAGGATTAAAGGATTGGAGTCTAAAACATTAATTACAACTTACAGAACCTTTATTGGATTGTAAAACATGCTAGAACATACGTTTCAGGTAAATTTGACATTAGTTGACATCATGAATTATTGTGAGATACTTAAACACTGTCAGGTGATCTGCAGTGTCTACCCATTTTGCTTCAGCTATGGTAAATGTGAAGGAACAACCCCCTCTTTCATTCAGAGCTAGGCTACTTTCTCTCTATTAATTATAGAATTGCTGATGTGCTGTAGGGGTATTTCTCTAACTTTACTACCTCCTCCTGAAACACCAGATGTGGGACAATTCCACAGTTTCTTCAAAAATTTAGAATAGTTCAAAAACTTCAAACCTTGCGTGACCTAATTCCTCCTCATTACATACCTAGGAGGAATGAGGAAGATGCAGAGAGAGGAAATCCCTCATAAACATATTAAAAAAGACATCAAATAGCTTTCCTCAATGTATTTTTAGATATTTTGCCTAGATTTAACATACTTGGTTTCATACTATAGAGCATGGAACTGCTTTTGAATATCTGATTATATTACAAGACAAAAGGTGATTCATTAATTTAATTCAGGTGTTGCCAATGCCACAGAACTGCCTTACAATCATGGAGAAATGCTATGAGTGGGTAGCCGCAGATGGTGCTGAGAAAAGAATATTGGTGTCTGCAAATGGTACTCTGCAAGTGGTAAAAGGAAATAATGTCCTCTGGGAGAGAATGGAAAAACAATTCCCAGAATTGGCTTTGTCCATCTGGCAAGACTGGTTTCAAAACAAGTATGCTCTTTACAAAACTTTTTTGCTAAATTAAAAAAAAAAAAAAAAAAAAAAAAAAAAAAAAATCAGGCACACCAGCCAAAGCACAGTCTGGGACACTGTGTTTATCCTTCCATGGTGGCATTTGACATGGTCATTATACAAAAAAAAAAAAAAAAAAAAAAAGGAAATGAAACTAAATGAGTTTTTGTTGAAAATGAATGTATTAAATGTGTAGAAACACTTTTAATTAGAAGGTTTAATTAGAAGGGATAGCAAGCATTTTGCAAAAAGAATCAGAGTTCAAAAAGATTTTGAAAAACTGGAGAGATGGTCAAGATCACTAAGTAAATTTCACTGAAAACACTTTGAGGAAACACATTGCACAAATTAATACACTTACTACACTGCATATAAAATCAATCAGGACGGGACTTCAAGCACACTGGAGAACAGGATTAGAATTCAAAGCGAATTTTGCAAATTGGAGATGCATCTAGGATTAAAAGGACACTATCCAATAAGAATAAAATGTCAAATGCCACACTGAACTGCATAAACATCACAATGGAAATCTTACTGCCAAAGTAAAATTTCAGTAGAAAGGCTCTAGGGATTATGGCAGATTACAATATTGCCAGGAAGTACATAGGAAGACACCGGATATAATCTTTGCATTCGTTTCAGTTGTTAAGGCTTCTGCTGACATACAGGTTTGGAATTTGCAGATCTAGAAGGATGTATGGAAGCTCAAGAGTGCTGAGAAGAAAGCAGCAAGAATCATAACAGGCTTAGAAAATGTCCTGAGAGGCAAGGTGGAAGGAATTCTGCTAGTTTCATCTACAAAATGAAGATTATAAGAAAACATAGCAATAGTTTTCCAGTTAAAACCAAATGTTACAAAGAGGACAGGGATAACACCCTCTTCATAGCTGTAGTTAGGAAGAATGACAGGAAATAAAATTTATTTGCAGCAAAAATATTTCAGATAGTAGTAAAAAACCTGTATTATCAGAAGAACACCAAAGCACTAAGGAAGACAAACCACACATTCTAGAGTGGATTACTTTAAAAGCTTATCAAAATAGAACAAAGGGCAAATTCTGGATACCGATTGTCTGACTAAACTTGATCCCATTTTTAGACATGGATAACTTCTTGATATCTCTTTCCATATACTTGTTATGATGCTAAGATTTTGCTAGTATTTTTCCAAGGGTAATGTATCCATTGTGTTCAATCCTAATACTAAAAATATTATGCTGTCCCTGTGCATCATGAAAGTGACTTCAGTGTTATAGGTTCTAAATATACTTTTGTTTATTACTTTGGTTTTTGTCTTCTGCTGTTGGACACATTTTCAAATTTTTTCTCATCTCATCACAGTTAAAATTTTTCCATTTGAAGACTTAGAGGGGAAAAAGTTGGTATTATGGGACTGAAGAGAAAACCCTTAGAATTAGCAATGCCACATATCTAAGAAGGAACTCTGTACAATACATACCTTGTTGTCTATTAGGTAAAGTATAACTAAACAAATTTTTTATCTGAGAAATCTTAGAATCAACCATATAATGCACAGTACTGATCTCTTTTTCTGATCTCTACGGCTTAACTCTACTTGAGCGGACTAACACCCATGAATGAGTTAAGCATCCAAAACCTACTGTATTTCTGACATACTGTTTAGACCTAGAAGTAGCATGAACATACATTCAAGACACACAAAAAAAGACCATATATGTGTGTGTGTGCACTGTATATATATATAGTATACGTTCTGCAATTAGCAGATATGTTTTAAATAGAGAGTTGAGAGTTTATCTTGATCTAGAAAAGAGTTGATTTAAAGGTGAGCAACCTCAGATTCATTTTTCCCAAATTATTTCTCATTCATCTTCATCACTGTTGGAAGAATTAAAAAGGGTCATTAACAATTTCACTTCAGCTTTCTTTTGATATAAATCATTGCTTCTTCCTTGATGGTGGAAATATATTCTGATGGTATGGTTTACCTTGACTGGAAAAGAAAGTTGCATTTAGAACACGCAGAATTATGAAATTATGAAATCAGCTACTTCTCTGAAAAATTCTTATTCTCAGCTACTAGACTAAAAATCAAGATACAGTATACTTATTGCAACCCTCACAATCATTTTTACAGGGAAAAAAAGTGGTTCAAGCTGTTAAATATATTAGTCATATCCTGTCTGTAAGAGTATTTGCTATGGGAAGACTGATTTGTGCAGTTAACAATCAGCAATAAAAAATGGAAATGTTCTGTCTCTGTAGAAAAGTCTTCTGAAGGACATATCTATCAAAAATCCATGAAAGGTCATGTTAAACCTTATCCACAAGAGAATAAAAAGCAGCAACATATACAGGTATGGAGAGAAGGTATGACTCAAAATTAACAGGCTACAGAGGTCAAGCAATCATTTCACAGAAATAAGGCACTGATTTTCCACACATTTATCAAAAGAAAATCAGGGGTTTCAGAATCAATTAAGCTTTTTGAACTATTAAAGACTGATAGTAAGACGACAGTTAACTGAAGTGGTTACAATGTACTATGACTCAGCTAAATGCAATAAACAATCAGATGGAAGTTATTAGTCATCACTATGTCCACATGTCGCCAAGGTAATAATGTACTCCATTATTTTTGTTCATTTTCTTCAGACATATAGAAGGGCAAATGCAAACATCTACTGGCAATTCAGCAGTGAACATAAAGAAAAGCCATATTTTAACATTATAATGCACTTTAAAAAAAATACATTTTACAATCATTAACCCTGCAAGATATTCTGTTAAAGTGTCCATGTATCTTATAAGAAGACTGCAAAGTAAAAAACTAATAATTTTCATCTAGTCACTTCCACAGAGGCTCTCCAAATCAAAATCTGAGGAGTAATCTGGTCTTTCATTTGTCATCATATCACCTTCCTGTAGTCTTCTATTTCTCTGCCAAGTAGCATTCCATAAATGAATAGATTTCTCGGGGTCAAATTTTTTTATATCTGGAGAGTTCATCTGAATTATCATAAGATCCGTCACACTTTCAGACATTAGTTTAGAGTGCAAATGCATCATGGTGAGTTTCATTTGACTGAAGCCTCGCTCTGTTTCAGCTGAGCTTGCTGGCAGAGTTAGAATCAAATCTACCAATGTCAGAATGTTGGGATACTTCTTTGAATAATCTGAGTTCACTGAATCCCATGTCAAAGTCTGGATGTTCTGAAATCTAAAAAGCATGGTAAAATGTATAATTATAACTATCACTAAATGTATTGCCATAATCCCTTTGAGTAAATCATTAAACAGACATAAATGCCATTTTCTTATTACCTGTTATACAGCTCTATTTTCAACATGCTCCATTCAGTTTCTACTTCACCTGTTTTCACACTAGCAGCTTCCAGTATGACTTCATAATGTTTAGTCAAGACAGACACTTCCTTTTCACCAAATTCTATAACAGAGGCAAAACAACAGTATTTTTATGCTTTTAAAAAATTTAGAAGGTGTACTTGAAATAGCTGCTATCACAGTTGTATACCTTGTTTCATTCTGTCAGGCCATAGTTTAAAACTTCCAATAGTAGTTGCTCTCAAAACATCTTGATTTGCATCAGAAAAACAATCACTTAGCCTCTTCACCAAATTACTTAGTATTTTGTTTCGTACTGCTGAAATATTTCCATTTCCAACAAGCTGGTAACCATGAAACTGCTGAATGGTCTCCATCAGGTGCTCCTTTGGACCAGCTCTGAAAGATACAGAATACAAAACAATGTATTACTTCACTTTTTAATTATATTCTAAGAGATCATGGTTCAGTTGTCAAAAATGCCAGACCTTGTTTGATACATGTGGAGTGTTTCCAGTGTTGACTGCACAGTTGAAAATATGTCTGCAATGGAGGAGTTGTGATCCAGAGTAACACGGTAGAGAATGTTGAGGACATTGATGACATCCAACAAGAAGTGAGAAAACTTGACTATCTCCATTTTCAGAAGGAGGTGTAAAAGATCTTTGACCTTCTGCTGGTCTGAGGCTCTTGAATCTCCTTGAATCTGGAATTCAATATAGAAGAAGAAAGTGTCAGGTATGTGGACCAAAATTACCCATAGTAATTAATTCTTCCTGAAATTACTTCAAAATTTTAAATTATTTACCTTACTCAGATGTAGAACAATTGCAGGATAACCTTTAAGAAGAATTTGTAGAGCTGTCTGTAGACGAGGAATCCACTGGGAGCCTCCAATGCGAGATGGAATAGCTGGGCGTAACTTAATGGCTTCATAGGTGGCTTTGAGATTATTCTTATATAGAGGTGAGTTATGATATAAGTAATAAATATTTCTTAAGACATTGGTTAAGATGTTGTATAGCTGAATATTTTTCAGTGCTCCTTTGTAAGCTAGCTTTAGGCGGTGCACGAAACAGTGGACAGACTGCACACAAGGCTGAATTTCCCTCAGAAGTTTAGCTACCCCTCTGGTTTCTCCTGCCATGACATCTGTCCCATCACTTCCAAAGCCAACTAATTTTCTTGACCAGTCTTGGCTTGCCAGACTGAGCTGAAGATTTATTTGCAATGTTTCCTCAATTGCATTTTTTATAGCTGAAGCATCAGTTTTGTGAACAGGTTGAACCCCAACAATCTGGCAATGGACTTTTCCTTCATTTGCAAAGCGTACGTAGACAACTGCAGCTGCTTTGAGTATACTGTCTGTAACTCCATCACTAATAACAGAAAAGAATTTACACTTCTGCAGTTTCTCTTTCAAAGCTCTTCTTTCTACTTCAGCAATAAAATGTATAAACGTTCTTGCTGACTTGTCATTTCTAAATACAGAACCAATATCCACTCCTTTCATATCATCTAGTTTGCACATCCAGTCAAGGTCTGTAAAGGGACGACCAGATTTAGCAATAGCATGGCATGTTCTAAAAATATTTTCTACTCTACCTAATGTTATGGAGTTCATGCTCTTCAACATCTGCTCAGCAGAAGCTCTATCTGGTGAAGCAGTACTGGCAGCTTCCATGCAGGTAGCCCAGGCATGAGCTTCACTACTCTGGTGTGTATTTATAAATTCAAGTTTGAAGTCATCAGTGCCAGAACAAAAATTATGAATGGTTTCCCCCAAATCCACATTATGCTTACGACATGGTGCACAAAACATTATTCCCCTTTCATCATCATATTTTAACCAGGAGTATTTTGTTAGCCATATTTTTGGAAATTGGCGATTCCTCTTTGTTCTCTGATGTTCCAAATCCTTCTTCATTCCCTCTGTCACCAACTTCTCTCTTGTTAGATGAATTATTCTTGCTTTTAAATTGCTTCAGTGCTCTTATGGCTATAATTCAAAAATAAACAACTAAAAATAAAATAGTTTTTATTTTACAAATTATCAATTATAATTTTTTTTTAATCCACATTTATTTTGTTAATCTGGGACTAGATTGTAACTTTAAACCAACAGCCATAAAAGGGAACAAAGAAAACTGAGATCTACTCTTAAATCACTTGGAGGCTACCCAGGACCCTTGTAAGAAATGGTCAGTTTTTACTCCAATTTCTTTTTGACTACCAGAAGTTTGTCAGAATATGCAACCAGTAAAATGCAGCAGCATCAACACCATTATAGAAACAGGAAGAAAAAAAAAAAAAACCAGAGTTAGGGAGTGCAGTTCAGAATGGTCTTTCAGGTGAAATGTCTCCAGAAGATATTACTTAAATTACAATCCCATTGCAATGCTTATTACACCTGACATTAACAGAGAAGTTAACTTGTAGCAAGTCGGTAAATACATAATCAAGTGCTGTCACAAAATGCATAGGATGTTCTACAGCATATGTAGCTGACCTGATCTCCTTAAAATATCTGCATAAGGATTTATTACTGCTTTGAGAAAGAGGAACTTCACATTTTGTTCTCAAAATGGAAACTATCTTAAAAGTATTGAGATTGTTCTCAATATTATTTTTCCAAATTGTCCTATCATTGGTTGTCACTGAGAAGAGCCTGGCTCCATCCTCATGACACTCACCCTTTATATATTTATAAACATTAATTAGGTCTCCCCTCAGTCTTCCCTTCTCCAAGCTAAAGAGACCCAGCTCCCTCAGCCTTTCCTCAGGGGGGAGATGCTCCACTCCCTTCATCATCTTGGTGGCTCTGCGCTGGACTCTCTCAAGCAGTTCCCTGTCCTTCTTGAACTGTGGGGCCCAGAACTGGACACAATATTCCAGATGCGGCCTCACCAGGACAGAGTAGAGGGGGATATGAATCATCAGATCAGCTCTATAACCCATCTAAACTATGATTATACTCATTAGAAATCCTCTGTCTAGTATATTCTTACCATGCTTATCTGAGGAAATGAAGGTTATGTGGTTTAATGCCTATGTATCGCTACATAAAATTTGTCTGCCTGTCAGTTCTCCCTCACTAATAATTTTAGAATGTCTAGTTTGAACCAAGTTTGTCAGTAAGGTAGAATTATGAAGGTCCTATAAATTTCTTTCAGATACGTTCCAAGATACAGGAGAAAGATCCTTATAACACTTCTACTGAGGAAAAAGCCGGGAGATGACCAGGTTTTATTCCCTCTGTGGCCAATATGCCTAAGCCAGCCTGAACTCAGTTACAGACCACACACAGCCTCCAGTGCATCCTGGCTATAGCTGTGCAAGCAAAACCCATAGGTAAGATGACACAAAAGAAAGACAACAGTTGTTTGGGGTTTTTTTTTGTTGCTTTTTTTTAAAAAAAATAAGCTATCAAACATGAAAAGGAACAGGGGGTGTACTAGTGGGAGGAAACTGGAAACACAGGAAAAGGTGGGATTTGTTGAAGTGGTACAATGGAAAGAACACAGGATAAAAAAGGAAGCAAGCCTGCATTACTTAACAAAGCAACTTTTTTCATATAAAAGTTTGTCATCAATGAAATCAAAAGGAAAACTAATGTAGAAAAAGCTACACAAGGTAGAAATGTCTCTCATTAAAATCTTTTTAAAAGTGAATATCATTCACTGATACATAAGGTGACACTGACAAGCATTTGTGTATGTTTCAATAAGCAGTGCAGAAACACAGAAAAATGCAAAGAATTAATTGGTGAAGAAATTAAAATTATGACCACAAGTGAAACTGAAAACAGAAAAATAAACATTAAAAAAGGAGCGTTAAGATTGACAGCAGCAAAAGTATACACTAGATATATACGCTGTGAACCAGGACTGTGACATTTTAAAGAGACATAAATAAAGAACAATCACCATGCCTCAGTTATAAGGCACAGATATGATAAGAAAGAGACTTTTTCTTAGTGATACACCAGTCAGCAGGCACTGTATGAAAAGATTTCCCTAAACGGAGGAACTGTAGTATAAAGATTCAGATTATAAATTTACACAGACAACAAAATATGGAGAGATTGTAAATCTACACTAGAGATGAGAATTATGTTAACATTTAATTCCCTTTTCATCAAATCTTACCAAAACATTTAAACAGATTCCTATTCCCCTACACTTCCTCCAAGAAAAGTGTTTCCATAGCAATTTCTGGCTAGAAGTTTGGATAAAGAGCTATGCAAGTTACACGTTAGAATCTGTAGCAATGCCATAAGGGATGAATGAATGAGTGAAATAAAACCCTGAGGCTGAACTATATTAATGTAACTTTAGTAGACTAAAAGCCAGTAATATGCGATACTTCTGTCATTAGATGAAAAAGACAGGAGTCTCAAAAATATGATTCATTCCCTCCAAGATACTGATATACTCATCACCTGCTGTAGGCGATATTCACTGTAAATATTTCCTTCATCTATCTACTAGTTATTACTGATTCTGGTATTTTATATGCCCAGTCTTCACTAATTATCAAGAATGGGGATTTTAAATTTAGAATCACACAGAGTAAGGTATGCCTGTTTCTGCATAGATG